TGATGCAAATGCATTTCCAAATGATCTTATATTAATCTTATTTCCTTTGGCATTTTATACCAAAAAGTAGTATAGAGTTATCATGTATGGAATAATTTTTTTTCAGTCTTTTCAGTTGTGTCCAACTCTTCATGACCCTATTGGGGGTTTTCTTGGCAGAGATACTGGAGTGGTTTGCCCTTTCCTTCTCCAGATCATTTTACAGATGAGGAAACAGAGGCAAACAAGGGTAGTGGCCTGCCCAGAGTCACACAGCTAGTAAGTGTGCAAGACCAGATTTGAATTCAAGAAGATGAATTTTCCTGACTACAGGCCCAACATTCTATCCACTGAACCACCTAGCTGCCCCCATGGAACAATTACATCCAATGAAAGAAATAATAATAGTCAACATTTATATAGTGCTTGCCATACATCATTCACTCCCCCTGACTTAAGCACTTCACAATCATATCATTTTGATCCTCATAACAACTCTGGGAAGTGGGTACCATGATTATTTTCCTCTTTACAGATCAGGAAACTGAGGGAAACAGAGATAAGTTGCTTAAGATGACATAGCTAATAAATTTTCTGAGACCAATAGTCCTTCCTTTGAAGAGGGACCCTTCTTCAGTTTAAATCACCATTTCCATTCTTTAATTAAATTTTGCTCATTTTAAAATTTCTCTCTGATTTAAACAGGATTTTCTCTTTTCATGGTCAAAAAAAAAGGTTAACAAGAGGTAGCCATACAATGCAAACCAAATATCTATCTTTTTTCTTCACTCTGAGATTACTTTTAAACTAGCTGTTTTCCTTCACTACACTAAAACAATAGGTTTATCTCTCTTCAGGGGGAAAGTGATCTAAGCATTATTTACCCTTGAAATTTTTATACAATTTAATTCTTATTTTTCCTTAAAACAAATTCTACACTCTGTAGAGTGTAGATATTTCTGCATATGTTAAGCTTCTGTTAAGTGTCTTATCACATGGGACAAAGAGTAAGTGAGTTTCTCAAATTACCCAGAATTCTTGGAATTCTCCCTGGCAGTGTTAAAATGATTTATCTCCAACTTTTTAAATCTACTAAGATGCTTTTAGCAGTGCTAGAGACTAGGCAAAAGTTTTTCTTTCTTTGATTATCTGACTTTATCTTCATAATCTCAACATGTCTAGGGCTGAAATGACAGAGGAAAAGTATCTTGCATGTTTTTTTTTTTAGCCTAATCTCCCATGGAAAGCCTAAAGAGGGAATTAGTCTCTAGCTAGTCTTCATACTGGGACAGAGAGTTCAGCACCTGGAAGAACTATTTCAAGTACAAAACTTCATTAACCTTCCCCAGCATTCTAAACTCTTTGGTTACAGTATTTTTTTTTTTTTTGCAGTCTTTCTGGCTGGTTGCATTTTACCCTTAGAAATCTTTTAAGGTAGCGGAATCTAGAAACAACACTAAATATGATCCTAGACAAAGATTTTCCCACATTTTACAAAGAAACAAAAACACAGACAAAATGATTAGACAAACACATACTTGCTGGTCTTACTTTTTTTCCATTTGCAATAATGAAAAGAGCTGAATTAGCCAGGTCTGTGCCAAATGCTTTCCAGCACCTTTATTTGGGAACTGATCTGAGATGAGAGGGGTCTACAGGGTCAGAGAAGGACGGTCTCTGAGTTGGGGTGGGAGTCAGAGGGGAATCTCTGCTAAAATAGGGGTCAACTGAGCTGTGATGGGGAGTTCTAAAGGGGGTGCCTAGTATGAGATGGGGGTCACAGGGTGAGTGTCTGAGCTGTGATGGAAGGATAACACACCTAAATTTGAATCTAAACCTTACCATGACTCGGAAGAATTTGGAATTGAGAGCTGGAGACCAACCTGGGGAGGGGGTGGTTTTCCATGAAAAGTTCCCTTGGTGAAAGATTAACTGAAGCACTCTAGGTAGTTTTTCTGAAAGGCTGCTGTTCCTAGGGTCAGAGTCCTGACTTAACCTAGCTTGGCTTGCCAAGAATTGTGGTGGATAAATAACTGAGGAAACAATCCAATCTATACAATTTATGAGTAGAACAGTCATAATAAATGAGTCAGTGAACTCCCCAATTAGCCCAAAGACCCTGAATACAGAGTGAGATAGATTTTAATCTATTAAAAACAATTAATCAAATAAGACCAATTAATTTAAAAAATTAACCAGCACAAAAAATTAGGTATTCTGATTTCTAATTGGAGGAAAACTTAGGGACTTCCCAAGTTGGGAGGGGATGAGTGAGCAGGTACAATTACCTGAATTCAGAAAAAAAGGTGTTCCACTCACCCTAAGTGTCTGTATTCAATCAAAGGAATATAGAAATGGTAACTGAATGACCTGGATGGGGCCAGTTTTCAGATAAGACAGTATGAACCGCTGGAGACGTGTACTGTGAGAAAACTCCTTGCATCAGTATTCAGATCTGACTGGGTTTCTGATCAGCATAACCGAGGTCTTTAGTTAAGGTCTCTAAGCAGCAGGTAGAGGTGGTCCAGCTTCCCATTTACACAGGGCTGGGTTCAAACAATGAAACAATCTCACAATCTCCACAATAGAATAAAGTTTTCTCCCGAGACAGAAATTGGACTAAATTGAATAAAAAGGGAACTGAACTAGTTCCAGAATGGAGTCACAAGATGAAGTCCTCATGTTTTACTCAATTCCTACACCCATAAAATTTCTTTACTGTAGTAAGAGTTTTCCCTTGCTTCCTTATTTCCTCAGTCCACATGCAGGTTTTATTTTGTTATGTGGCAAACTCTTTCTTTGCACTTGGTTGTTATCATTTCTCTAGTTTATTTGGAATATTTCTAGCTGTTGTCAGGTGATGAGGAGGATCTGGACATTTACACAGTTTCTCACTCAACTCATCTTTCCAGAACCTCAGGGAAACTGGATTTTTAGCTCAGTCTGACAAATAATTTCCTGAAAACAAGAATAAGTCTGTAAGTGGAAAAAAGTCATTTGAATTTCCCATCCTTCAAAACCTTCGTTTGGTGGCTGGATAACCATTTGTTGTAAAGAGCACTAGTGCTCTGAGTATTTACTTGATTAGATGAACTTTCTTTCCAGCAGTTCAATTGCTATCATTTCTTTTCTTATGTAAAGCAGGCCACAAGTAATTCTCTCTGTCTCTGTCTCTCTATTTCTCTCTCTCTTTCTCCCTCCTTTCCTCTCTTTTTCTCTCTCTTTCTCTCTTCTCTCTCCTCTTCTTCTCTCTCCCTCTCTCTTCTCTCTCTCCTTTCTTCTTCTTCTCCTTCTTTTTCTCCTCTTCCTCCTCCTCCTCCTCCTCCTCCTTCTCCTCCTCCTCCTCCTCCT